CTCTCAAAAAAAAAAAAATTCAACTCTCATGTAACCTAATTCCCATATTACGAGTCCCCATTCATGTAACCAAATTCTCATGCATTGAAACTACACACCATTGACTCTTTGACTCATGGGAACTCAAGACAACATTACTCTACTTTGACACATTGACTACATGAAAAATCTATAGAACTCTATACTACCCTTGACTTTAAACTATACCCAAGAAAGTCCCTTGATAAAATTATAAAAGAGTCTTTAACAAATCCCAAAATGACAAAAACATCCAGGGACCAAAAGTTCCTGGAAATGACAAACACATCCTGAGGGGGCCAACAAGCTTCTAGAAATGACAAGCACACCCCCCGGCCAAAAGATCTTGAAAATGATAGACACTTCGTGCTGCCAAATTTAAAAATGAAACTTGTTTTGGCTAGCCCCTTGATGCGATTTACATCAGGCGCTCTACACAATGCATTAAGATCTCCCATGACAAGAAGAAAGGAACCATAAATACAGCAAAAGTCAGAAAATGGGACCATTGCTTAAAAAGTCACCAAATGGTCCCAGTGTTGATCCCTGATGGGACACCATTTTTGGCAAGTGCGTCAGCTACGGAGCTAGCCTCCGACAACATATGCCAAAAGGAGGTATGCATAGGCCCCCAAATCAAATATGTGGTCAAATAAGTGCTCGAGTTGCTGGGGGCATTGGAAGGACCTCGGGGCTTAGGAGATGACATTTTTGTAACACCCTCAATCACCAAAAGATGGCCCAAGCTCGAAGGAATCTTTTGATACCCTCGTGGAAGGCGATAGTCCCAACTATTGTGGAATCAACATGTCTAACGAATCCTGAGAAGGAAAGGAGAATGTTCCCTTGGTGGTCCTTGTATTGAGATTTGGGACCCAAAGCGTACAAGACCAAGGTTTCAAAGGGACCAGCCATCAAAATTTAGTTTGATGTGCCCTTATTTCACTAGTCACCACATCGATGAATGAAATATAGTGGTTGGCCTTGCAGTGAATATTGCATCCCAATTTTCGAGAAAGTTGGCAATGGCATAGATTTTGAAGGCTTTTTTTCACTTTTTCCCATTAAAGGACCATTGCTTTGATGCAATCTTTGTCTCCTTCAAAATTTCTAGAGTTTCTCAGGATCCACAGCAACCACAGAGTTGCAACCATTGCAACAGGCAATGGGAATAGGCCCACGACTGATCGCAGAGGGGAGAGAAAGGCCTAGAATAGTTGAGGGACACTAGAAGACCATAGTTTATTGGCCACATCACAGTGAACAGAAAGGTGATCATTGGTTTCTTTGGCAGACATGCACAAAGCACACCTATTGGGGATGTGAATGACCCTTCTTTGTATTTGGTCCACAGTGAGGACTCCTTTGTAGATGGCTATCTGATCAAAAGCCTATATTTTAAGGGGTATGGGTTCAAGACAGGTTTTGTTGGCCACTGAGAGGGAGGAGGGTGGGTGTTGCTTCCATGTGTGATAGAAGTATGAGAGTAAACTTGGCAGATGGGGAGGAAGCCCAAATGATCTTGTCGCGACCAATCTTTACGCCATCGAGCCGACTCAAAATTGCCTAAGTCAGCTCGAATCAGAAGGAAGAGGCAGCATTTCTTTGAAATTTGTTTCAATTTCTTCATTTTTTCTCTCTCTATTTAACCCCAAAGCAGTTTTGGATAAAAAAGCATAATAAAAGAAATCAAGGTTCCAAATTTCAATGGTTTTTGGACCTCAAACCAATAATCTTTCGATTTCTCTCTCAGTGTTTCACTAAATCCATTCAAATGTGTCTCAAAATGTTCCAATCGCATTGACTTACAAAGCCTTAACAAAGTTTTTTTAATCAAAACCAATATCAAAAATTTTGGCAATTTTTCAATCATTTTTTCCATCATCTTCTTTCCAAAATGATGTTTCCATTTAATTTTTTTTATTTTGATTTTCATTTACAAATCCTATATTGACTCCATTTTTTACTTTTTAATACTTGTTTTTATGTAATTTTCCTTATTCTTTTGGCATTTTTCTCTTTTTCTCATTTTTTTGTTTCTAATTTTTTAATGTATGGGCCGAGACACCCTTGACAATTTTCCTAGTTGACTGAATTGACTCAGACCCATTAGAAGCTGGTTACAGTCCCCAAGCTGTCTTTTTTTAACACTGGACGAGGCTAAGAAGGAAGGTGGCTTGAGGGAAGTGATGAATGTACAATGTCACTTTAGACGAATAAAATAATAGATTTTTGGGGGTTATGTGTGAGTTATACACTTATACAAAGGTATTTTGCAATTTTCATATGGATAGTAATATAAACATGACCGATCCCATAAGTGAGGTCATGTCATTCTCTTCTCTCACACACCTCTCCAGCATTCTTCCCTCTTTATTCCACTCTTTCATTCTTCCATCTTTATTTTATTCACCTTCCTCCATCAAATACTTACTGATTTGTGTAGATCTAGATTATATTTTTCAACTTGGTATTAGAGCAAGGTCTAGATTCGAACAAGTGAGAGAGTAGTGAAACACTGGCCATATAACTGCTGGTTTCAGCAGTACAGCCAGACAACAGAGGAAAGTGTTATTTTTTGAAGAGCATGGTAAGAACATTGTTATCAATGTTTTTTTTAGAATGAAAGTGCCATTTTCTACGGTTTATTCTCTGAACAGATTTCTGTTTCGCGAAAGGTGTCAATTTTTTTATGTTTGTCCCAAAACTTAGGGTTTTTTGTGATCCATTGTGGGGAATCCAACAAGCAAGCAAGTTGTATAGATTTCCTCCCGCCTATGTGAAACCTAAAATATAGCTATCAAGTTTCATTTTTTGGGAGACTGATAACAGCTGTCTAATGTGTAGCGAATAGCCTTGCAGCCAGTTTACATCTGAAATTTGCAGCCACTACTGTATAATCAATTGGCCAATGCATTGTGTGGTGCCTTCAGTGCTTACCGAGAGTTTTTGAGAGACATAAACACTATGATGAAATAAGAAATAAACTAAAATAAAAAGACAGATGAAATAAGAAACAAGTAAAAATAGAAGAAATTTCAGGAGAATATTTTGGAACTTCAGCAATGGGAAACCCAATCACAAGTTTGATGCATCCAAAAGAAACTTATGAAAAATGAATAGATCCGATACCTTGCATACAAGCTCATAGCGAAACTTACAATTAACTTTTTGTTTTTATCCAATCTAAGAACAAGTCATATGCTTTGGCCTATTGAAAACTTCCTGAGGCATGCAATAATGGCGCGAACAAGAATTAACAATGGTACCATAAAGAGGGAATTCATACATATGCAGAACTTGTTATTTTCTATATATGACCATATGTTTCAATGTGTTTTTAACACAAATCTCATTACAAAGATTCTCTTTTGTGGACTTTTCTCCTAATGCCTACAAACACTTACCAACACAAACAAATTCACTGGAGAAGACCGCCAACATTGAAAATTTTTTGAGAAACAGCCTTGTCTATCCGTGGTTTTTCAAGTAGGGAGGAAACACCGAGATTTCCATCTTGATTCACACCACTTCTTTTATAAATGTCATTTGCACTTCCTTTTTCACCAGCTAGTGAAGAAATGACGAGGTGAAATATTTAATCTTTTTTACAGAGTAGAGTTTATAAAGGGAGAAGTTGGTGAGGCAAAACCACTTGAGAACTGAGTTTTTCATGAAGGTTTTGATACACAAGCATTGACTCTTCCATCATCATCCTTTGACCGTGGGTTATAATTGGTATTTAGTGAATTTATATTAGGCATGAAATATCCTTATTGAGATAGGATGACATCATGACAAATTATGACATAATACCAACTACATGTAAGTGAAATGTCAAAATGACTTGAGGTAGTTCTTTCAGGCATATTGCTCATGAGATATAACCTACTTTAACATAGCTCTCTTCTAAAAGTATGTTGGATGCATTTCTGTAACTGATTTTTTCAAATGAAACCATACCTTACGCAATATGTAGAGTTGAGTTTACTGATACTCTCATTGATATGAATAATTAGGTTCTATAGGTTTAAATAGATTAAGTGCAACAAAAAAAGGCAATGCTTCACTAAAAATGAAACCAGGAAAATAATTACCTCCTATAGTTTAGTGGTTTCAATATCTTACATTACAAAAAAGCAAGATCCTATACAATTCCAATGGTTCAACAATCGAAAATAGAAAACCCAGAGAAGATCCTATACAATTCCAATGCCATTTGGCCTAATGCAACCGCTTGAACATGCAAGTACTTGTTGGCCTTAATTTCCATGCACAGTGAATATCAAGACAAGAGAACACAACAAACACTGTAAGATTCTTACCTCAGTAGTTGATTGATCTGGTTTCCTTAGACAAACTCAAGAATGAAAAGGATACATCACATGGCTCTATACTGACAAATTCAGTAACAAATACCTGTCATGATAGAATATTGAATCTTGCGCTTGACTGCATCAACTACTCAAAATATACCACACTTTAGCCACTTGATAGAAACCCATTTCATTCCAAAAGAGAAAAATATAGCGTAGAGATTGATTTATTTGTATCATTGTTTGAGTAAGCATGCCAAATCTTGGACATCTTTGCATCAACTTCTTTAAATATGCCATGCTCAAGCTAAGTCAAGGAAGCTTGTTTCATGTTCACAGAATCTAAACACCTGCATATTTGGCGCCAATGCTACCTATGATTCATTCTTCGAAGCATTCGTGCAGCATTAGGGGCCTCACCCTCACTGCAAAGTACATGAATCAAACAATTCAAGGTTTCAACTGATGGGAACATTTGTTCAAGCAACATCTCGTCAACTATCACAGTTGCTTCCACATAATTCTTCCTAACTCTGCAACACCCATTGATAATTGTTTCATAAGTTCCAGCGGTTGGAACACATCCCCGAAAGACCATCCGAGTATACATTTTCAAACGTCTCTCTACTTTTCCACATTTAAACAAACCCATCAGCAATGCATTGTAAATTGAGACGCTGAGTTTCAAACCAGACCTAATCATCTGGTTCAACGCCACATATGCCTCTCTGAGCTGACCCTCAAAACAAAAAGAATTCACCAATACAAAGAAAGAAATATCATCAGGCCTGCAACCTTCACCAACCATCTTCTCCATTAGCTTCAAGGCTTCAAATCTCTTCCCCTTTTTACAAAACCCATCCATCAAAGCATTGTAAGTAATTACATCAGGAGCACAACCTTTCGCTGCCATTTCCTCCATTATTCGCATTGCTTCTCCAATCAAACCTTCACGACAAAAACAGGTGATCAGAGTACTGTAACTAACTATATTAGGGATTATTCCAAACTCTCTCTTCATTTCTTGAAAAACCCTAAGTGCAGAGAGGCTGTCACCTCCACACTTAATGAGTATATTAAAAGTACAAACATCTGGTCCTATATCAAAGCTACCCATTTGAGCGTAAAGCTCATGTATTTCTTTAACCCAGTTCGATTTATACAGAGCATTAAGCAAAGTATTGAAGGTTTTCACCGACCTTTTGCAACCTAAAGCCTCCATTTCAGATGAAAAGAATGTCATGGCTTTGTGGGGCAATCGGCTCTCCCCATAAATGTTGATGAGGTTGATGCAGAAGCCCTCAGAGAGGTTGCAGGCCTCTGACTTCATGTGGTGGAGGAGGGATTCAATGGATGAAACATGGCCAGAGCGAGCGAGCTTGGAGATGAGCTTGTCGTAAACAGGGAGGATTGGGCGATAACCAGGTAGCATTGAAGCTCTGTAGAAGAGCTTGAGAGCCCATTTTGCGTCTGGCTCTGATTTCATTGATTTGAGGAGGGCGTAGGGGCTTGAAGAAGAAGAGGGAGGAGGGTTGTTGATTTGATCCGCAAGTGGTTGCTGCTGCTTCTGGTTGGAAGTGAAAGCGAATGAGGAAGAAGAGGAGAATACTCGTCTCAAGCCTTTCGTTTGCTTCATCAAGATGCAAAATAGGGCACGAGGAGAACGATCTATGTATCCACTGTGCGGTTTGAATAGGAAGCACCTTCATTTTAGCACATGATCTGAGGATATTTTCAATTTTTTCACAATTATGTGATGCATCTGGGGTTACTTTCCAATTTTTTCTGATGCATCCATACATACCATGATAAACGAAGAGTTCGATAAAGAAGTTTTCCATACGCTTCGTAAGAATTTTTTTAAAAAATTTTTCTATGGACCCGGTTTCTATGCAGCCCAGCCGTAGAAATGCAGGCATTTTAATAATAGATAAATTTTAAAAAACTAGAAATAACAATTTTAATAAGAAAATATTTGAACCGTTAGTTTCCATTGTTCTTAGATGAAACACCTATTTGCATCCATCTTTAAAATGGATGCTTCCATTGTTTTTAGATGGAACATCTACTTGCATCCATCTTAATGCTTTTAGATGGCACGCACACTTGCATCCATATGGATGCTTCTATTGTTTTTAGATGGAACACCTACTTGCATCTATCTTAATGCGGTTCAGCTCACATGAAACATTTTTTTTTTCTATTATATTATGGGATTGTATAAAATGTGACTATTTACCTTTGTATAGAGAAGTCATAATTACTTATAAACATCCGATGTGAAATTTGATAGTTTGAGTACGTCACAAAGTACGAGAAAATTTCTTTTGAACTTTGAGTTTGATCAATAAAATAAATGTTGCAACCCAATTTCACATCCCATGGAAAATTTCTTTTGAACTTCTAGTTTGATCAATAAAATAAATGCAGCCACCCAATTTCACATCCTATAGTCAAAATTAATTTTGACCACCTTGCACCAAAGTAAATGGTCTCATTATATACTTTTCCTTGTAGCTATACTACATTATTAAACAAGAGTTAAGGGGTAAACACGTGTCGTAAAAATAAGAAGATGCCCTAATTCTAAAGTATATAGGTAGGGCGCATAACTTCTAAATTAAAAAAATACCTAAGGTGCCTAGTCCCTATCTTTAAAAGAGGGAGATGTGAGAGAGAGACATGAGAGAGAGAGAGAGTACGTGGATAAGAGAGAGATGTGTGAGAGAGAGTAAGTAGAGAAGAAAGAAGATAAAGATATCAGTGACCTCTTAAACAACCTTTCTCTTATCAAGATTTTTCCCTGTATCCAACTTGCTTTCATCATTGTCTTGGGGAAACTGAAATAAAAAACACAAGCTTTGCCATGGCTTCTTCTTCAGTTATCCACTAAACTCCTTTCTTTGTTGCTTCAAACCCCTCATGGATCCAAGCTTTGCCCTAACCAGGTACACCTGCGTCTTGCCAAGCCCTCTAATTTGGGTTTTTCCCTCTAATAGAGTTAAGCCCCCCAAAACTAGGGTTTTTCTATCTCATCAAGTTAGAGCTACTGCTTCCACAGCCACCTCGCTAAATGAATACATTCTTGGACCTGCACTTTCTCTCTCTAAATTGTTCATGGCCACAGCTCAGGGTTTCGCCTCCAAGATTAGGGCGCTTTGCTTGAATCCCACACCGTAGGATGCAGCTTCTCTTCAAATTCTTCAAGATAATCTAGTTTGCACAATTGGGCCTCTGTTCTTCGTCGCTATGAAGGACCAACTAGCTGGTTATTTCAACACGCTATTAGCTGTGGTGAACTAATAAAGTCTTATATATTGCTCGAAATTGAGAAATTGTTCTTATTTTGTGATCTTTATTAGTTGGGGGTGGATTTGTTTGTGCAAAAGCATTCTTGGTCGATGCTATGAAGGACAAACCAACAAGTTCAGGAATATGCCATTAACGGTGATGAAGTTAGTAAATATTTTTTAAAAGAAGAATGGATGACTCACACTGAAAAAGGGAGGGCCATTGCTTGGCCCATAGAACTACACTGAAACAGGGGATGGTGGTTTCGGTTCACGCTCTGCCTCAGCTGGAGAAGCATTCTCGTCTTTTCGATGTCTCAATTTAATTCCCCTATTGCGAGTCCACATGAGGTTTGTGATCATGCAGGTCATTTGTCGCAGCCTGGCGGCGCTTCTGTGCACGTGGCCTTCACTCCGAGTCCCAAGGCATATCTTCATGATGACCTGCCATTGGAAAGTGATCGCGAGATCGTCACTATGGATTGCCTGCAACTCCATCTTCTCATTACCGAGAAACCTTCTTTTTGGAAGTCGTGAGGGAAAGGGACAATCTCTTGGAGGAGAAGAGATTTATTGGGTGGAGTTTCATTCTACTATCCTTGACAAAGAAAGGAGTGACGCTGAATCTGGTGCTCAAAGCCTGGTTCGTTATGTTGTTTACTTCGCTGGAGAAAATCATGTACGCATTGCCTTATAGGAGTGTCGCTATCAAGGGTTAACCTCCTAAGGCTAGAACGAAGTTTGATCCCCTTCTCATTGATCCCCTTGTTGTGATGGTGGTGGAGTATGATGATGAGGGTCCGGCTTTAGTTCTTGGTGAACAGATATTGTCAATGCATATTGAGGGGGAACAATTAGAGGATGCCCCATTTGATCCGAACACTACCTTGGCAGTTTCTGAGACGGTTGATCATTTGAGTGTTATCCCCCAATTGGAGGTTTCTCCTTTGCGGCGTCTGGGGGGACCACATGTAACTGCCAAGGATGGGGCGTTTGCGTTTGAGACTATGGTTGCTGACCCTGAAGAGTTGAAAATTGCTGGTATGGCTTTTGATATAGGTCTGGACTTTAACATCCCCATTAGGGTCTTCTTCAATGAGGTGAATTCAAGAAGGCTAGAAGTGTTATGGTATCAAGAACAGAGGTCGCTTGGAATAGAGAGGGGACGTCTAACAAACCCCCTATCAAAGTCGGAAAGGTTTCTAAGCCTAAGAAGTTTTCTTCTTTGGGGTTGAGGTCTTCAGCCAGGCTTGAGGCCCGTGGCATCATCAAGAGTACTGCAAAGCCGAAAGTGTCTCTAGGTAAGGAACCAATACTAATTGATCTCTCGGAGGTCGCTTCAGACTAGTCGGAGGATTCAGATTCTGCTGCCTTCAATGAAGCCTTGATGCTGGAGGATCTTTACTTTGGTGCAGGTCCTAATGGGCCAGGTTCCACCTTTAAACCTCCTTGTTTATGAATATTCTATCTAGGAATGTTAGGGGTTTGAGTGACCCTAGGTGTAAGAGGGATGTCTTATTTTTTGTTTTTTAATTTAAGCCTTGAATTCTAATTCTTTAAGATACCAAACTCCCTAGTCCTAGTGTTTTTGGGGTTAGGGACGTTTTGGGGCTCAGGGGCTGTCTCTTTTTGTAGTATTGATGTTGTTAGAGCATCTGGTGATTTATGGGTTTTGTAGGACCCTCTTGTTCTTCATAATTTTGAGATGGTTCTTCAAGATAGATTGTTTCATGGTCCTATCCCGAGGTTTTCTTGGGGTATTATGAATGTGCATGGTCCTAATGACCCTACTCTTAAGGGAGGTTTTATCAATGATATCGATAGTGTGATTCAGCAATATCAATTTCTTCTATGTCTAGGGGTGACTTTAATCTCATTAGGTGGCCAGATGAAAGTTTGACAGGTTATCCTATTAACTTGTCTATGAGGCTTTTCAATAGACTTATAACAAATCATTCTTTCTTTGATCTACCGATTGTTGGGACCAAATTTACTTGGTCGAATAATAGTACCATTAGTCTTTCAATGTCTAAATTGGACAGATTTTTTATATCTGTAGATTGGGTTGATGTGTTACCTCTTGTCTCTATTAGAGTTCTTCCACGTCTTTCTTCTAATCATGTCCCCATTTTTTTTTATATCATCATGGATAGATGTGGGCCGAAGCCTTTTAGGTTTGATATTGGGTGGTTGGAGGAGACGACGATGGTAGATGTCATTAAAACCACTATTATAGAATACAATTTTTATTGGTTCATTGGATTTTCAATTACACAAAAAGCTTATCAACATTAAACATAAACTTATTGTTTGGAAGAAAGAGAATAAGTACAATGTTCAATCTAAAATTGATGAGGCCTTATCTGAAATTGAAACCTTGGGCCAGCATGTGCAATCTACAAGTGTGTTGACTGAGGAATTGATGGGTGAAAGGCGTTCGAAGTTGAAATCTCTTATTGATCTTCGTAGAGTTGATGAGATATATTGGAATCAAAGATTAATGATTAAGTGGTTAAAGGAGGGAGATCTTAATATCAAGTTTTTTCATTCCATTACAAGTGTAAGAAAAAGGCAAAACGATATTTCTGGTTTGTCTATCCCGGGTGTTGATGTGAAGGATATTATTGTTGTGGAAGGGGTTATTATTGACCATTTTACAAAGTCATTACGACATAGGTGAAATTCACTCCTATTTTATAAAGGGTTCCCTTTAAAGTTCTTTCAGGCATAATGAATTCTAACTTGGAGTGTGACATTTCTATGGAAGAACTGAATGGGGTTGTTTTCGCGCACCTGGTGATAAGGCTCCAAGCCCAGATGGCTTTCCTCTATCTTTCTTCCATAAATTTTAGAACACGATCAAGCTTGAATTGTTGGAGATGGTTCGAGCTTTTATGACTAGGGGTGAGGTTTTCAAAGGGGTTAACACCACTTATATTGCTCTTATCCCCAAAAATTTAGTGATTGTAGAACTTTCAGATAATATTCCTCTAAGTCTTCTAACCAGTCTTTATAAGATTGTGGCTAAGGTCTTGGCTGAAAAATTGAAGTCTGTGTTACATTTTCTCATCTCTAACACACAATTTGCTTTCATTCAGAATCGTCAAATCATTGATAGTATCTTGGTGGTTCAAGAGTGTATTCATTCTAGAGTTAGAAGTCAAGCTCCTGGAGTCATTATTAAATTAGAGTTGGAAAAAACATATGATAGAGTTGAATGATGAGTCCTTTTGGAAATCCTTAAAAATATGGGTTTTGGGGCTAAATGGAGATGTTGAATTTTTGGATGCTTATCCTCTGCCCATTTCTCAGTGCTTTTTAATGGTAGTCCTATTGGTTTTTTTAAAGCTTACAGGGACCCCATGTCACCATTTCATTTTTCCATCTATGCAAAATGCTTTAGTCTGGTGATTCGTAATGTGGAAGGTTCTAGACATTTATCTAGTTTTAAGGTGGCTGAGATGGGTCCAAGAGTTTCTCATTAGTAGTATGCAAATGATACGCTTATTTTTTGTGAAGCAAATGA